TATATATATATATATGTATGTATGTATACAATGATCGCGTTCATCGGTGAATGTAACTTTACATAGGATCAAGGTCGTTCGAAGTATCGTCGGCTGATTCTTCAGCCTTTTCTGTGTCTCAAGTATAAAACTAAAGGATGCGGCTGGCGAAGCCTTTTTGTAAAACTATATATTTGTTCTCTCTTTCTCTATCTCTCTCTTTCTCTATTGCGCTCAAGTGTGTGCACGTGTTTGTTAAAAATGTTCATTTTTTTTTTACACTGCAGGCAGGTCGACAGGTTTGACTATTCGTGCGTGTTATACATGAGACACTCCGTAACCGGGCGTTATCCAATGCGAAATACGCGAATGCTTTGACGTGACGTTATCACCGATGATGATAATGATAATGATGATGATAATAATGATGATGATAATGACGATGGCGATGATAATGACGATGCGCGCGTGAGTGTCATTGATGAATTTCTTTTGCATTAATTTAATGATCATCCGTAAACGTCGATGTCGCGGTGGTCCGTTTTTGGAATAGCTATAATAATTATTATAAATATATATATTTATATGTATATTTATATGTATATAATAGGTCCATGCGTTTTCTTCTCCTTTATGCGCGTGTTATGCAACGTGTATGACAGTGAAGAGCGTGTATACTAGGAATGTACATAGTGTACGTAGAGATATTTAATTAGGTTGTGTATAAAACGATGATACATACTATTTACTCGTTACTCGTTTATATCAAACGACACATAATTATGATATCGATTTTTTAGTCTCATGGTACGACGTTCCAGGGCACACGGCGCGTCGTTTGCCAATAGGCTAATAGTCTTGTCCTGTCTTCTCGCACAATATGATCGCGCGGTCACGCATCCACGCTGACTCGCACTCTCTCTTTCGCCCCTTTCACGACAAAAAAAAAATGATCACGTGGTTATGATACAAGAATCTCTTCCAAATGAATGGTCATCAGTTGAGCATACAATTTGGCATAACGCGTGTTTTTTAAAATGGCACGCTATATGTTGGATTCGAGTTGTACTTGAATGAAAATTTGTTAACATTTTCATTAAAAGATAACAAAATTTGCATTTGGACAGATTCAGAAATTTGTAAATGTTTCAGATCACACACACACACACACACACACACACACACACACACACACACACACACACACACACAC